AAGGTAATTTTGACATTGCCGTTTGTGTTTACACTTGTGAAGGCCAAAAAAAAGAAGAAGAAGAAAGAAGAAATGGCTTCTTTGCTTCGGCTTTGCTTTATTGTTTGCGACAATATTATGAACGATTAGAATTCCTGAACAGAAAATCAACAAATAGACTTGCAACCAAGAATCTTGGAAGAAACATTTTGTAGACTGTGTAAATACTAAATTGCCAGGTGATAGAAGAAGTCGTAAGGGATGTTCTAAAAATTGTTTTACCGGATGTGGTAAGATCAAGTTAACAAGATTACTTTTATGTCCTTAGTGTAGTTCATTTATACTTATTTACAAATCGTTTCGGAATTTGGAGGAAAATGTTATACATTTCATGTGTACATGTTCCATAAAATTATTTGCTGCTTTTAATTTTAAGTCGATATGTATGGACACCGAGGATTTAATTTTTCCTCATATTAACGCCAGTAAAAAGCCAGCTATTGATTTAAAGGAAGTTTATCTAAAAGAGAAGGGAAATGTTCAGTTAATCTATATATCAGAGAATGGAAGAATACAGTATAGACTCTTTAATCCGAATCTAAACTAAGACTTCCCTTTGCTTTGCCAACATTTTAAATGACAGCTAATACTGACTTATTTCGGCGCAGTGCTAAGTTCGTATACAGGGTGTTTTAGGAAGAGATATATATACTTGGGACGGGAAATTAAAATTTTATGAACGTTTGGCTGTATCACCCAGAGAGCACCACAAGCGATCCTTTTAAATCGCTTGAACTTTTTTGTGCCACGGTGTATGTCATTTCAGAATAGAAAAACATTTTCCCCTATCATTTCTACTTAAGAAATGTACACTTTATTGAAATCTCTAGGAGCAGCCGTTTCCGTTAAAAACTCATCTAAAGATGATGATGCATCAGTCAGTAAAAAGCATCATTGGAAGTAGTTGATGATTAGCATTGATCTATTTACAAAATTCCAATCTTCTGGCATGATCTCTTGGTTGAAAATTTTGTACATTTTAAATGTGGAAAGGATACAAGCCTTGTTTGCATAATGTAATTTTTTTTTTCATTGGCATTTCGGTTATCTGCTTGTTCAGAATGATAGTGACTACTTGGAGGAAAACAGGATTCACATAATTTGGTGAATGTGTTAGAAAACATCCTTGCATCTGGAACCGTTCTATTAGGAAATCGTGTCCCATATTCTCTACGAGTAGCCCGCGAATTTCTATTGGAAAAGCCATAACAAAATAACATATCAGCATACTCTTTATGCGTAAAGATGAATTTTTAAACTTTGAATACAAACATAAATTTGCAAAACAAAAACTTCATTTTATGTCACTTTTAATTAAATGTAAACTACCTGGTGGGAGCCTACTTGAAAATATTACTTTTATTTATTTCCGTAATCAAAACTCGTCAATAAGAAGATTATCAAGTAGGCTCCCATTGACATTTAATTAAAAATTAAAATTTGCAAAACAGTTTTTGTTTTGCAAATTTGTTTGTATGCAATTTTTAAAAATGCCACATATCTTTACGCATAGTGAGTATGCTGATATGTTATTTTGTTACGACTTTTCCAATGGAAATTCACGGGCTGCTCGCAGAGAATACCGGAGAAGATTTCCTAATAGAACGGTTCCAGATGCAAGGGTGTTTTATAAGACATTTACCAAATCACGTGAATCTGGTTTTCTTCCAAGGAGACATTATTATTCTGAACGAGCAGATAACCAAAATGCCAATGAAATCGAAAATATTCTTCAATCAATAGAACGAAGAGCATCGACAAGCACCAGAAGGGTTTCGTTACAGATGAATATTCCTCATGTAAGAGTATGGCGTATGTTCTGCAAAAATGGTTTGTATCCTTTTCGCATACAAAACGTACAAAATATTCAACCAAGAGACCATGCCAGAAGATTGGAATTTTGTGAATGGATCAACGCTTATCGTCAATTGGTTCTAATGATATTTTTTACCGACGAAGCCACTTTTACCAGGGGCGGCATTAATAACCATCACAACAATCATCGTTGGTACGATAACAATCCACATGCTAGTGTAGAAACCCATTTCCAGCACAGATTTACTGTTAATATCTGTTGTGGAATGATTTGTCTTTGATAAAAATTAATTTAGTAGTGTTAATTGGATAGTGTTAAGTTGTTTTTTTTGTTATTTTGTTTTATTCTCGAAAACCACGCATTTTACAATAAATCTTTAAGAGGCGTTTATTTTAGTAAATTATTTGTCAGATTAAAAAATAAAAACATCGTGTTGAAAAAACAGCTGCGTTATTTTTTCTAATTAATTCTAAGAATTGGCGATGCGTGCATATCGTACAAAAACGTGAAAATTCCTTAACTGTCTACCTTACTTTTATCTAAAAAACAAGGCATAACACTTTAAAGATTAAGAACTATTAGTTTCTAAACAAAACAGCCTGACTTTTTTTTGTGAGAATTGCAAAAATAAAATCTAAACAAAATGTACAAAACCTGACAATAACTTTCGATTCACTCTAATACAGAATTTGCATCATTAGATGAGTTTTTAACGGAAACGGCTGCTCCTAGAGATTTCAATAAGGTGTGCGATTAAGTAGAAAAGATAGGGGAAAATGTTTTTCTATTCCGAAATGACATATACCATGGCACAAAAAAGTTGAAGCGATTTAAAAAGATCGCTTGTGGTGCCCTCTGGGAGATACAGCCAATCGTTCATAAAATTTTAATTTCCCGTCCCAAGAATCCTCACCACATACAAAATTTCATGAATTTAACTCAAAGTAGCCGAGAGTTATTAAAGAAAATAATTAATTTTTTTAAATTTGACATCCTGTATATCCCAAACGAAGTGTTTTTTGCTTAAAATTAAACTTAGAGTAACATACTGAAGTATGTACATCTCCTCCTGAAACACCCTGGGATTTGGGATCACTTATAACCCCTTAAAAAAACAGATTTTCAAAAATACCCTATAAATGTAATTTTTTTCAGCGACACTGCTGCAAACCTCCTATAATGAACTGTTCGAGAAGATTAATTGTAAAGCTGCATGATGTACGTAAAACTGAAAATAGAGCAGCAAACAAATGTAATACGAGGAATGAAAACATTTCAAAAATATACAAGCGCAACTTCTGTGATTTCCAAACTAAACGGAGGACCAGCTTTGATAGTCACTATTTAAAATGCAAAGACTCAAACAAATGCAAGGCACTACCACATAAGGGCACTTCACAAATGCCATATTATAAATGTGATAGTTGCAATTACGAATCCACGAATAAGAGTAGTTTCATCAAACATCAGTTGATACATAAAGATCCTTCTCAGGTCCAAACATACAGGTGTAACGACTGCGAATACAAAACTAAGTACAAGAGTGATATCAAACGGCACCAACTGAAACACAAAGACCCTTCCCAGGTTCAAACGTATAGTTGTAACGACTGCGATTATAAAACTAAATACAAAGGTGATATCAAAAGCCATCAACTGACACATAAAGATCCTGAGCTGATTCAAATGTATAGGTGCAATGACTGCGATTACAAAACTAAATACAAGGGAAATATCAACCTGCATCAACTGGAACATAAAGATTCTTCACAGATTCAAATATATAGGTGTAACAACTGCGATTACGAAACTAAATACAAGACTAGATTCAAATGTCACCAGCTGAAACATAAAGATCCTTCACAGGTTAAAATGTATAGGTGTAACAACTGCGATTACGAAACTAAATACAAGGCTAGATTCAAATGTCACAAGCTGAAGCATAAAGATCCTTCGCATGTTCAAATGTATAGGTGTAATGACTGTGATTACGAAACTAGATACAGAGAAAAAATTAAACACCACCTACTGAGACATAAAGATCCTTCGCTGGTTGAAACGTACAGGTGTAACGACTGCGATTTCGAAACTATATACAGGGGTTATTTTATAAAACACCAACAGCAACATAAGGATCCTTCGCAGGTTCAAATGTACAAATGCGACGACTGCGATTATGAAACTAAATACAAATGTGACATCAAAAAGCATCAACGAAAACATAAAGCTCCCTCACAGATTCAAATGTACAGTTGTAATGACTGCGATTTCAAAACTAAATACAAGGGAAATATCAAACCGCATCAACTGACACATAAAGATACTTCGCAGGTTCAAATGTACAAGTGTAGTGACTGCGACTACGAATCCAAACACAAGAATAAAATCAAACAACACAAACTGAAACATGAAAATCCTTCGCAGACCCAAATGTACAGTTGTAATGACTGCGAGTTCAAAAGTAAATACAAGAATAGTTTCAAAAGGCACCAACGGAAACATAAACATCCTTCGTATCTTCAAATGTACTGAACCTTCTCAAATGCAAATTTACCGGTGTGATCTGCGTGATTTGCCAACTGTGAATTGCAGGTGTGAATTATTGCTTATCAATGTGCAAAATACAGTCAGTGTTATAACGCCACGGTTATTCAAAGTGGTGGACTGTATGAATAAAGAAATAAAATGGTTGGAGATGGCTTACCTCCTTTGAAACTCCTATGTTCTTGAAGGGCCCTTCTGATGTCTTGAAAATGTTGATTCGGCTTTCTATTTATTTCTTATGGAGTTGGGAATCACACGCACTTGTTACTATGTCGAGTCTCTCAAATGGAATGAATATGAATTATATACAAAAACCATCTCCAACAAAAACAGTACGTAAAAATAATAAGGATTTTCGTATTTGAGTGAATAAACTCGAAACAAACATGTTGTTGCAACAAATGAAAAGAATAGAAAACTTATTTTATATATTTTAAAAATGAATTGTAATTACAATAACACCCTTTTGCGGTGAAGCCGCAACAGTCAGAATTGGAGCTATTTAAGAACTACAAGACACCGATTGTAAATATTGTAATAAAAAAACATAACGCCTGCTTTGAAAAACATCGGTTGAAACACGAAGACCTTACTGAAACAAGAGCATGGGCAACTGATTCGCTAATACCTAGTTATGAACTGAAAAGTCCACACTTTTCCTGTTTCCTTTGACAAATGATTTGTAGTTTTGATACTTTTATATTATGTTAAATGCCCATAAATATTGTAAATGATATACTGTATATACCACGTAGTTAATAAAAAAGTCAAATTTTCACATGGATAATTTTTTTAATAGAAGGCTGTTGTTACACAGACGATGAAGCATTCAGTGCTGCCGGTGTTGTATACAGGATGTTCAAATTTTAGTCATCAGATTTGAGGCAGATAGAACCAAAAAAAATTGCGCTTTGCCTTATAAACATACTTCAAAATCTCAACGGTTTTCAAGATAAGGGTTGTTAAAAGATCCCTAAAAATTTATTCTCTGAAATAATGCATCTTCATAAAAACATCCAAAGCTTCTTCTTACCCTTGCCAATTATATGCAGTGGTATTTCTCTGCTGTACATATAGTTTCAAAATTCAATATTCGATTGTGCACTTGATTTTCCAGATGGGCGTTGCGGTAAACCTAGGAAAGTTTATTTTATTTAAGGTATACTGGTACAAAATTAAAATATGTTCATCTCGCTTCAAGTCTAATATTCATTATTTGTGTGTCAATGTATTTTCAACAGTCAATTTCCTTTTCTAAATGAATTATTTGTGCTGTACTTACGTGTGTGAATTGTGTACATGTGGATGGGAAGGTTATGTTCAATGTATCTTGTAACGACTACCCAACTATTTTTCTGTGATTTAAAATATTATTTATTTATTTTTGTACATTTCATTCATTATTATTGATTACTGCTTGAGTTTTCTGTTATATTACTTGTTAAGTTCTGTTTTATAATTTATCTTATTTAAAAGAACTAAATTCTCATTTTATTATAATTAGGTACATATTAATAATAATACTTGCAATACCACAGCTGATTGCTTTAACCTATTAAATGTCGAATGAAGAACAGTGGGTAGGAAGGAAAATTGGTGACCAAAAGAAAGTACAAGTGCTTGAGAATTAAAACAGAAAATAGCAAAAAGCAGGAAAATAGCTGTTGAAGAGAAGATTCTGGAGCCAGAACCTCCGCACACGGTTCTAGGACATCAACTAGTCAACACAACGGTACATGGGACAAAGCATGCACTGTTCTTTTTGCAGAGCTTTTACACACACTACAAACTGTGATCACGAAATGATTCGAGTGGAAAAGTTACATGTGTAAGTAGCATATTACTATGATGCACTTCTGTGAATACAAATGTTCCCTAGCTTTTGTTATATAATATCATAAAATATTTGTGTTTTGTTCCAAAACCATCTGTTAATAAAAAACCTTTCCGGCCGTAGAGCTCTCTGAAAAAAAGTGTCGTTGCTTGCCATCGTCTACACCCGCCATTTTGGTCCAAATTATTTGAAAAAATTCACAATTTGTTCCTGACACTATTAGTACAATCATTGAAGCTTTTCACCTGCCAATTCTTTGAAACTGAACCGATCGACTTGAAATTTGGCAGTTAGTTAGAGAGAAGGTCAATGAACATTATTGACATAACGTCGATTGACGCTTCCACCCTGTTGGGGGTTGACACCCCTTCTTGGGGGTGGAAATTTTTGTTTCAAAAATAACGCTGGAAATCAATAGAGAATCAAATTTTGAGCAAAAAATATTCGAAGAATTTTTTCGAGAAATCAATAATTTTTTAGTTATTCACGATTGAAAACTTGAAATTTTGAGTGAAAAAAAAAATTTTTTTGCGAATACTCAAAAACTACGCAATTTATTAAAAAAAGTGTAATGAACAAAAATGTAGCTTATAAAGAAACAAAGAAAATCGTTTTCTAAAAAGTGTTGTACGTCCTATACAAAGTGAAATGTGGTTAGTGGAAGGGGACTTGTTTTGGTGGGAATACTCGAATCGATGTAATCAACGTCAAATAGCGGAAAAAGGATTAATTTTACGTTTATAACGCTCCTGGAGTTTTTTGTATTACTCAAAAAGACCTTCAAAATGAGCACTTATTAATTAGAGTTAATTAGAGCAAAATTGAAGCAGTTATCGTCAAAAACAGATGGGTTGCTCATATTTTTTAAGGAAAAATGAGCAGTAAACGCTGTACCATTTCCATCAGTTTTAAAATTAATCGTAGACCCTTTACAGTTAGTTTTGTTTTAGTGTTCTTCATATGATCCTGAAGTTAGACCGGTTTAGATTGCGTATTTTTTGAATAATGTATGGTAAAAGTTGAAAACGTATTTTCCATTATTCAAAAAAAATTGCCTTATTTATAAAATAACTGAAACTATGAAAGATACATAAAAAAATGATAAACAACAAAAATGTAGCTTCTTTTTCAACAAATATTTTGCCTTTCTTTTTATTCCTATAGCATAAAAAATAAAGGAGATATCGCCGCTTGAAGTATCCATTTTAGTGAAAAAACGACCTGTCTCGAGCCCTTTGATCCTTTCCCTTTAAAAAATGAAGGACTTAAAGGGTTTTATATGCAAACGATCTTACAGCTCTTGAAATTATCTTTAAAATGCTTTTTTGTAGGATATTATAGCTTCAAAATTATGGTACCTACATTTTTTCGGAGCAAAATAGGCTTTCTCATTTTTGGAGCAAAATGTTAGGATTCAAGTGTGTATCAGAGTATATAAAAGTTTATAGGCAGTGTAGCAATTTTTTTATGATTGACAATTATAGCATTCCAAGATTTAAAACGTAATTTTTTATCATTTTTTTAGCACAGGGGTGATTTATAAGGGTTGAATAGTGTTATGATACAAATTCTTTCATAAGCAATGAGGGAATTTTTATTTTAAATAATTGCACCGTTAAAGCATTCCAAGCTTTTAAAAAGTAATTTTTTATCATTTTTGTCAATACAGGGGTGGTTTTCAGGGGTTGAAAGGGAAAAATTATTTAACTAGCTATAAGGTAACTTTTATTTTAAATAATTGCATGTTTTAATCATTCCAAATCTTTAAAAAGTAATTTTTTATCATTATTTTTTGCATAGGGGTAGTTTTTAAGGGTTAAATAAAGGGTCGAAAAGATCAAATATATCATAAAACATGTGCCATGAACATGGAACATTATTTAATCTTTGTGCTTGAACAAGATTTTTATCAATAAAATGTTTAAAACTTAATTTTTTCAATTTTTTTCACTTAGGAGTAGTTTTTACCCCTAAAAAACAAACAGCGTCAATCGGGCTTATGTTACTTTTGAACTTGAGCCTAAGGTGAGCCTTATTCTAAATTTTCATGCAAATCCATGCAGTTTCAAAGAATTTGGAGGTTACAGTTGATTTTCAGCTTCAATGACTGTACTATACAGGGTCATAAAGTCCCCATGGTTCATTGGCCGTTACGTGAGAGTAATAAATAAAGTCATAAAAATTCGTGCAATAGAGAAAGATGGCTATAATGAAGGCGTCTAATAGTCAACGCCCATTTCGCCCTTCCGCAAATAAGATCCACTTCTTATTTGTGGAAGGGCGAAATGGGCGGTGACTATTAGACGCCTTCATTATAGCCATCTTTCTCTATCGCATGGATTTCTATGACTTATTTTATGGCTCTCACGTAACGGCCGATGAACCATGGGGATTTTCCGACCTTGTATACCTTGTACTGAATTTTTCTTGAAAATTCCAGAAAATAACCTTTTTTACCAGAGTTGCTTTACCCTTTAAGAAAAGCAAAAGACATCCCTTGAAAATCACTTTATTTCAAACGGAAGGTACAATACTGAGCACACAGAACACTTAACTGCCCTTCACAATGTAAAAAATCCTATTAACTTTCTTCTCGTATCCTGTAAAAAGAAATTCCTTAAAAAAAATCGCCCTAATTTTGACACTGCACGCACCGCTATAATCTCAAACGTTTAAAATGGCCCTTATTTTCTGCCTCATAAACCCGCTTATCAAGCTGGCGTCCCGGCCATCTTGCACCTGCGTCTCCGAAGTCCCCTTGTGATTCGAATGGTGCACCTGGAAATTGATCTTATTCACCGTCACGTACTTGCACTTATCGCACTTATATTTCGGCATTTGCGAAATATTCCTGTGTTTCACCATGTGATTCCTGATGCTCTTCCTGTAATTTGTGCCGAAATCGCAGTCGTTACATTTGTACAGTTTCTCTTCCGAAGGATCCTTGCGACTAGTCGCATTCGCGATCCTGTGGTGGCACGACTGGTGATAGGAAAGGTTCCCCTTGTACTTGGTCCCGTAATCGCAAACGTCGCACGAGTGCATTTGTGCTTCCTCCCAACTTTTGTGCCTCAACTGGTGACGACTGAGGTTCCTCTTTTTTATTGTTGTGTAGTCGCACTTATCGCACTTCAGCCTCGGCAAGTCCGAGACGTTCCTGTGTCTCAACATGTGAGACGCGATGTTAGGCTTGTATCTAGTCTCAAAATCGCAGTCCTTGCACTTGTAGATTTGAACCTCCTTGTCCCTGTGTTTCGACTGGTGCTGGTTGAGGCTGCGCATGTACTTTGACACGAAATCGCATTTCTGACACTTGTACATTCCTTTCTTTGACGGACTTTTGTGCTTCGCTTTGCGGCGAGTAAGATTTTTATAGGTCAGCTCGTTCAGGATATCTCCTGTGTACTTTGTCGGGTGGTACAACCCTCTTTTTTCTCGATCTTGACTATCGCTGTGGGTTGTTTCGTAGTTCAAGCTCGGTTGAAGCATGCCACTGGAAAAGGGCCCAAATAAATAACAATATAAGTTATATCTTATTAAAAAGAATATTTTTTTTAGTGCAAGAAAATGTGCACACAGCAAAAATTGGAAATAAATTTAATAAGTTGGTAAGCGGGATGGAATGATAAAATGTATTGATACACATTCAGATTCGACTTTAGACTTTATAAGAGTTAAAAATTGTGAAAATAATAATAAAAACTTTCTGTGTGTAGTAGTAGGTCTCTCTTGCATATAGTTTAATTAAAATAACTATTATATCTTAATTTTTTCTTCTAAACTACTCAGGTAGTTTTGCTGCTCCAGTCATTTGGTGATAATCTATTCGATTAAAAGAAAAATTCAAAAAATTAAGAGTTTTGGACCATTTTCTTGACAATAACAGCTACTTAAGGCGGTATATCGGGTTTACCCAAATGCACAGATGTACTTGAAATTGATATAGAGTATTACCCAGTGCTTCCTCTGAGCGTCATATTTTTTTGAATTTTTTTTTGAATCTAGATTTTGAGGTATTGTTGTTGAAAGTTGTTCATTTTAACATAGGTTTATATGGCGAAGATGGACAGTGCGGCTTTTTTTTGCCCATAACTGAGAAAAAAATGTAGAAATTATGAAACAAAACTTTTCCATAGATAGTACATAGTATTATCTTATTTTTGATGTAAAACTAATATAAGTTTTAAACATAGTACGCCTGTATTAATTAGAAACAGAAACCAATAATTGCCATTCAGTCTGACTTGAGGGTTAATGTGGCAACGTCGCAATCAGCTGACAGCAAGGAGGGAATACATTTGAAAGACAATAAAAACGAAATTGATTTCAAACATATACTTTTTTCCAAAATCCCACGTACATTGTTATCAACAATAAATTATCCACAACAGATGACTTTTTGTAATGTTTTTAAAAAACTAGATTAATTAAGATGGAAGCTGTGATATATTTATTGGAATAAAAAATACAGTTGATAAATACGTTTAATATATTTAATGGTTTATAAAAACATCGTAATCATTACCCAGCAACATTTAGGTTACATAAAGTTTTCTTTACTTGATTAATATAATTAGTAATACTTGAAATAAAAGCATTTGTACGGAATAAAGGAGGAACATAAGTATTTCTCAGCAAAACTTTTGTAACATTACTAAAATAGAGATGAAAAACACGAACAGTGAGTAATAATGTAATTTCTATCACAGAACCTTCAAAATTGCATCCAATATTTTCTTTGACTTGGCCGAGAGATGCGCGCGAGTGTCATTTCATTTCTTTAGAACAAAATTATCATAATTATTTTCTCGTCGTTTTACCACTTCACATGATTGACGGATTTTAAATAAACGATACAAATCTTCGCGAGGATAATACGATATATTTGCTATATATAATAATTATATTTTACATAGTTTACACAATACATTTTTTAACGCATATGCATCTTTACCCGAATTTGACGCACAATATCTCCGATGTCCGAGATCTGTAGGTTCGCAGTGTGTACAACTGCACTCGATTATTATCGCTGTTGCCACATCTACATAGTGTTTATGCGTTAATTAAATATAATTTAAAACTACTTAAATATGATATTTTTATGTTGTTAATTTTCAATATGTATGCTATGTGCATGTTGAGTAGATTTCTTTGTTATATAGATAATGTTTATCGCAAATAATTTGAATAGAATTTAATTTTTTCAAGTTGGCAGCGGGTTTTAGTCCCCTAAGAAAAGCATAGGACCCCCCCCCCCTGCGATCCTCACTTCCCTCAGGCCCCGATATACCTCCTTAAGCCTTTGTAGTTTCAAACCTTTAATAACTATTAGTATTTTGTCGATGCAGTTTACTACCAGTAATAGATACACCAAAGTTGAATAAAAAATAGCTTAACTGAAAAATACTTACGGCAAAATAATTAAAAACACTTTGGGCGTTACTCGATAGCGTTCGATTTGAGATTATTTTTGTAAATCATTCTACTTAAATTAACCAAAAGTAGTTCTTCCTTACCTCCCTCCTGCATATTCTTCCAGTTTTACCTCGATTGGCATTTCCATCCGGTTAATCTCAGATTCTTTGTACGAGTTTTCAGTCTTAATGAATATAACTGATGATGACACACCCGTTTGATTCTCTGGGGTCGAACCATTGAAATTATCTGTTTGGTCTACCTCTAAGGGATCTCTTAGAGATCCGTGTAATGTTCCCATCTCATTCGTATCGAATTCTTCCAAGTTTTCGGTTTTAATGAATAAATCGGGAGGCCAAGCTTCCGTGTGACTCTCCTTAGCTTGATCATCACAACTAAGTCCAACTTTTTCACCCACTTCAGAGCAATCTTTTAAAAAAGCATTGTGAGTGCACAGAGAATCAAAGCAAGGCGTGCAAACAACCGGATCTTTGATAATGATGGTCTTCTATAATAAAAAACACTATTTTAAACCAACGAACGCTCATTTTAAATTAATATGTTACTGTATTAATGGTACGTACCATTTCGGGTATGAATTTTTTAATAGCATCAAGCTCCGCATTGAGTACGCATCTAAACTCGTTCCTTACTAGCCGCATACATAGTCGACAAACTTTCTGATCGCGTGAAATAGCCGTCCCGTTCTGCTTCATATAAATTTCCCTCAAGTCGAGCAGAGACACTTTGTCGTAATCCCCATATGGAAGGATGGTGTTATAAGTACCCAAACAAGCCGATTTAAATTCCAAGGCAGCGTTTAATCTTTCATAACAAGGACAACATACTACGTGTTTCCTCCCATCCTCAAATTTCTGAAATGTGATATATGTAAATTGCTACAGAAGTGGCTATGACCTTCTGTTGACTCACCAACTTCAGCAGAGGAATGTCTAGAATGTCAGTCGTATAGTCGTCCACTGCTCTGAAATTTTTGTCTAGGATAGTCGCAAGGCAGAGCCTGCAAGTATTTTCTTTGAAACTGGCCATTTGAGATTTATTATTTTCTTTTCCTTAGAAAGTAAACATATCACAACATAACCTCAAAAAATATTAGATACATGTTACCAACCATAAAAAAACATAATACCCTACCAACATTGAAAAACTACCACAGACGCAGAATAATATAGAAAGTCAAGCCACCATCATTTTAGAAGTATCTTTGTACTCACAGATCAAGAAAAGACAGATCAGATTCAGGGTATTTGTTTGAATCTCAAATGATTCATGTTTATATTTACTATTCCCCGTGTTGTGATTGGTTCATTTAAGTTTCGCGCCACTTTTACGCTCAAATTTTGACATTTTCCAGAAAATTCAAGTTCGCCATTGTTGTGTTTCGTAGTGTAATCTAATGTTTTTGCGTTTTTAATGATTTCGTGCTTGTTAGTAAGATTTTTTCCAGTGAAAAAAGTGTTGAGCAACGCCGAAGAAGTGCTATATTTGCAATATGTACCAAATGAAACAAAATCAACGATCGTTCCATAAGTAACAATAATCATAGACGTAGCAATAAAACAAGCTGTTGGGGTTAAATTTAAATATTTCGCTTTGACAAAATTTAAGTGCCAAAAAGCATTAGTAAATCAGATAAACCAAGGCGTAAAACATTTAATAGATTTTTTTATATGTTACAGATTTCCGAAAAATCTTCTAATTAGAAGACAGTGGTTTAGAAGCTTAGGAATTCCATATACAGAAACAATATCTATATATACCTATATATGCTCTGACCACTTTTGTAATAAAATGCAGGATAATATTCTTAGGATAAAGCATAAGTTAACAAAAAATATTTTATTTCATAATCAATAAATTTCTATTTGAGTAATATGGTTGTCTTTTTTCATTCATAACATTCATTCGATAGAGACAACCTAAAAAATAAACCAATTGACAGCTTTATTAGGGACAAACTTTAACTCCAGTAATATAGCCGTAACACGCAATGTAAAAATCTACATGTAATTCTATATAAAATATATATTTAAACCTGTTCTAATTTTTAGTTTTTTATATAAATTCACACATATGTGTTTGTGATAGGAAGGGTTAATGGACCGACTCTATAAAAATGAATTATAATTTTAAAATATGGTCAATCTTTTAGTTTCCTATATACAAATTTTATAAATTCTATGTAAGAGTTGATACCAAATTTTACACCGTGTCATAAGCTATTAAAATTAAAACTAGGATATACCTACCCAAATGGAATTTAAATACTTTGTTTTGTTAAAATCTCGTGAAAATCATATTAATTAACAGCTTAAGAGTATGATGAAATGTATCATTCCTTTTGTATATAAATGAGAGTAAAATTGTGTCAGTAGATCATCTCAACCGTATTCCAGGAAGAAGTAAATGTAGGGGACTGTGAAGTTCATAAGTAATAAAATAGGTTGAAGAAAAGTTAAATAATCTCATAGATACCTTAAGAAATAAAACACGCTTTCTTAACATACCTATTACACCATATTTCCCTAGTTTATCTGCGGAAAATAAAATTTACAATTATAATTATTAAACTTGTTATTTTAGTTGCAATCAGCCCCTATAAAATGATGCGCCACTGCCCATGAGGGAATGTAAACACAACTTCCTCACCCTTCCGATGAACTATTTTGGCTTCAAGCCACATAGGTATAAATTATGTATCTATGTCTTTTCTTGATCTGTGTTTGTACTTATTAATTACTAAATAATAAATATTGTTGATTTTATTGCAATAATACCTGTGGGATAGCTTTTTTAAATCTATTTTATTAGTTTTTAATTGTTTTAATGACAATTGCGAGCGGCAGAACAAAAAACAGAAGTTTTTAAAATGTCAAGGTTGTCCCATATTTGAATCCGTTAACAGAGGGCAGCCAGATCTACAGATTTTTTTGGAATTGTGGAAATAGGGAATTTTGCTTTATTTCTTGGGATTTTTAAGTCATTTTAAAAAGTATACTTAAATAACAACTCCTTCTAGGGCTGCCCTCCCTTAACGGATTGTTTTAACATATCGGAATACGAAGTCGGAATTGTATAAATAGTGACATCTGTTACAGAAAAGGCAAACGACGAAAACAAAGATGACCACCGGTCGCTGAATTACAAGTGGAAGTGGATCTTATTCGTGGAAGAGCGAAACTGTATGTAAGCGTTATTATATAGAAGAAACTTATAATTCGATACTCTCATCCTATATATTTCAAGTTATATTAAATATTTAGTTTTAATGCTAAAAAATCCTTTATTTATAACTACATAGCCTAGTACACAATTAGCGGGTTCCTAATATTTTTAATATTATTATTCTAATATTCTACATTCTTAATAATTCTTTAGTTACAACTGTATATTATAATACTGGTTGAAGAACTTCTGTTAATTTCCATTTGGTTTATCTGAAGATACCTCGGATGGAATAGTTTAATATGAAAACACCCCCTCACCCTTTGTACGCCGCCATTTTGGTTCTTCACCGACAGTGCTTGAAACTGTTGCATTTGTCTAAAAATCCAGAAAAAACATCCCTATGTTTGCGCTTCCGGAACGACTTTGTGCCTCACCTCATGGGCCACAAGCAAATAGCTTTGTTTAGTTTTATAATCGCACTTGGAGCACTGGTACAAATGCGTGGAGGTTTCGTGATTGAACTGGTGGAACTTCAAGTATTGTTTAGAAGTCGTTTGGAAATCGCAAAGATCGCAATCGTACTTTATTAATTCGGAAGAAGCAGTTTTGTGCCGCAACAGGTGTCGTTGCAGGTTCCTCTTTGTTTTCGCTGTGTACTCGCACTTATCGCACTGGTGCATCCGTTCTTCCAAAGCCTCCTTGTGTGTCATCACGTGGGAGAGGATATTTTTCTTGTATTTAGTTTCGAAATGGCAGTCGTTGCACTTGTACATTTGAACCTGCGTGGGATCCCTGTGTTTTAACTCGTGACTTGTGATACGGCTCTTGTGGTAGGTCGCATAATCACAGGTGTCGCACGTGTACAATTGTGCTTTCGAACGATTTTTATGAGTTAATTCGTGAATGTTAATGTTTGCTTTAGATTTCGTTTCGAAATCACAGATATCGCACGAATACTTCAGTGCTTTGGCACCAATCTCATGTCTTAATAGGTGGCCAGTAAGATTTCCCTTGTACTTTGTTACGTAATCACACAATTCGCACGAGTACATTTCTGTTTCGGCGACACTTTTGTGCTTCAATTCGTGTCGTTGCAAATGGCTCTTATTTGTCGTCTTATAGTCGCAGTCGTTACACTCGTGCGGGAGCTTCCTGTGCTTCATCACGTGCGAGGCGATGTTATTCTTATACCTGGTTATATAATCGCAGTCGTTACACCTGAACATTTGAACCTGCGAGGCGTCTTTGTGTCGTAATTCGTGGTACCGGATATTTTTCCTATACCTCGACTCGTAATCACAAACGCTGCACCGGTACATTGGCCCTTCCGAACGACTTTTGTGTGTCATCTGATGACTGTCGAGATTTTTCTTGTATCTTGATTCGTAATCGCAAACGTCGCATTTGTACATGTGTGTTTCCGAGGTGCTTTTGTGTGATACTTGATGACGGATGAGACTTTCTTTGTACATCGACTTAAAATTGCACATATCGCATGTGTACTTTGGCGCTTGCACGACGTTTTTGTGCCTTAATATGTGCCTCACGAAGTTTTTCCTGTAAATAGTTTCATAACTGCAGTCGTTGCATTTCATCGTTTGCCTGCCTAGAGGATGCGTGGCCTTTATTTTGTACTTTCGTGCTCCCTTTATGTTTTTGTGTCTCATCCGTGATGAGAGTGAATTCTTGGTTTTTGTTTGAGCAGCTGTGAAACGACTCTTATTATTTTTGTAGACACTGGGGTTTTGGTTCTGTAGCTCCTTTTCTTCTACATCTCCATTGTAGCTATTCTTAATTATTACATCCGTGAAGCTTGGTTGTAGCGTGTAACTGAGAAAAATGTACAAATAAATAAAACTGTAATAAATAAAACTATAAGGTACATCTTATAAAATAAGGATACTGCAGTTAAAGAATTAAGGGACGAGTACTGGTAAATACATAATAATGGTTTTTAAAATCAATATTAATGATTTTAAATAGCCTTAAAGTTTTTTTTTGTTTTTATTGCTTTTTCGTTAACCCGACCAGTATTTCTGTTTTAAACAGTAATTTATTTTCGTTCATATTGGCTATTAAATTTTAGTAAAATTAAATATTACTAAAACAATAAGATCAAGATTACATTAAAACACAACTTTCCGTTTCACCCGCTGTGATTGGTGTAATTTTTCATGAGATTCTATTCAACCAATCAGCGATCGCATTATCTCGAACGTAGATGTAACAGTTTGTCATTGTTCATTGTAAACGAATCATTAACATTGATGATGCCAAGATTTAGAGATTTTTTGTCAATCGTGCACTGTTAAACGTCATTTTTTCTAAATGTTTTTTATTAATATACAGGGTATTCCTTAATGATATGTGAATACTTAAGAGTGTGATTTTACATGGTAAATTAAAGATAGTTTGCTTTATAAACTATGGTCCAAAAATGTTCCGTTGCGAAAATACGGGGTATTAAAATTTTAGGCAAAAGAAGGAAATTATTATTTTCGAAACCGCACCACGAGATATTTCAATGATATTTAAAATGTAGTGATAGTTAATAAAGGCATGTTTTGCAATACAAACATATTTTTTTTTAGCGCCAACAGTGGTGTGCGTAGAAACACAGACTTTGATATTTTCAAAGAAAAAAAATGGTATGCCATTGGTTTTTTACCCAAAAGTATTTTTTCTTACTTTCTGCCTTCATCTTCTTCCGATTTTATCTCGACACATTCAGTTTTGACCGACATTTCCATCTCGTTAATATCGTAATCTTTGTCCAAGTTTTCAGTCTTAATAAATAAACCAGACGGTAATACGTTGATCTCCGTTTGGCTCTCTCCGACTGAACTATCACAAATGCCTCTAATTTTTCCATCTACTTCTAATTCCAATTCTCTCAAGTTTTCAGTTTTAATGAATAAATCCGCTCCACCGTCTGCGATTTGACTGTCCCAAACACCTCCAACTTTGTCACTTATAATTGAGCAATCTTTTAGAAAGACATTATGAGTGTACAGAGAATTAAAGCATAATGTACATATAACAGGATCCTTGGCAATGCAGGTGTTCTAAAAACACAATTTTTTAGTGAGTTTTATCCTGCAAATATTCGTTTGAAATTAAACATACCAATTCCGGAACGAATTTTAGGATAACATCAAGTTCCGCTTCGAGTACACGTCTAAATTCACTTGTTACTAGATGCATACACAACTGACAAACTTTCTGGTCGCATGAAATAACTTTTCCGTTCTCCTTCATATAAATTTCTCTCAAGTCAAGCCCAGACATTTTCTCACAATCTACGTATGGAATAATTGTGTTGTACGTGTCCAAACAAGTGGATTTAAATTCTGAGGCAGCGTTTAACCTTTCATAACACAGATTACACACTACGTGTTTGTCACCGTCCTCATATTTCTGCAATGTAAGATACGCATTTATATATTTGTGACTAAAATTTTTCGTACTCACCAACTTCAGCAAAGGAATATCTAAAACGGCCTTAGTATACTCATCTACTACTTTGAAATTTTTGTCTGGTATAGTCGCAAGGCAGAGCCTGCAAATAGTTTGTTTGATACTAGCCATTTAAGTTTTAAGTTCGATGATAACTTTTCTTGTAAAAGTAAACATTTATAACCTCAGTAAATTTTATTTTTGTGGCATTGCTACCAACATTTAAAAATTGCTATAGACCATGGAAACTCGCCATCTTATCACTTTCGGGGATCGGTTTTGAAACAATATGCGGGTTGATTCGCGCCATTATTCTATGGCTAGAAATTGGCCTCAATGATTTGGGATCGAGGGGGATTATCCCTCTTTATCCTGCCTCATCTCGTGTAGGCCTGGACAGCCTTCGTAGGTGGGCCCCATCCGTCGTCTACCCCGACCGCAAATGCGGCCGGTGTAGGCGCTTTGTGGGACCTCCTTTTGTCCTGGCTGGGCCCCGCCGGCTAGGGCCCTTTCTTCTGGCGCTCTTCTTGCTTCGCCGGCTCGTCTGTGTAAACCCCGGGGGTAGTGTCATGTTTATGTGTGGTATGGTTGGGTAGGGTAGTGCGGCTATGCAGCCTGGGATGCGCTTTGCTAAGGTGGCCCTTAGGCTAGCGCGGGAGGG